ATGAGGTCTTTGTGGTGTGAAAATGCTGTAGCAGTGAGTGTTACAGAGACTAACCCTGTGATTCCTGCATACAGGCGTTGGGGATATCATTACTCTATCTCAAATGAGGATGTGACAAAAAGAAAAAAAAAAACAAAGGATCACCACACATAACTCAGTTTGAGACAGTTTTCACACGAATCAGTATAATGTGGAGTCAGAATCCTGTTAATGATTTAGGGTTCTGCGAATAGGCTCTATGTTTGTCTTGATGGTGTCTACACAAATCGCCGTGGAAAACAGACACGATAATACATGAAGTCTCCATTTTTATTGATATATTATTTGTTTGATAGCTGAGAAAAATGAATTTATATTGAAATAGACCAAAGTATGTCAAAAACTAAAACATTGCTTGTAAGTACAAGCACAAGTGCTGTTTTGTGGCTGGGTCAGATCACTCAGATCATCATTGTCAGAGTGTCTTTCAATAAGCGCCTTTCCTAAAAGGTTTTAAATCAAGATCAGAGACTTGGTAGACTTCCAAAGACTTCAGAGAGTATGTGTATATGAGTTATAGATACAAGTACTTACAGGGAACAGCAAACAGGGTTGTCTTGTGATGAAATATAATTTGGATTACAGACTATTCCAACAACAAAGACACTGTAGTCCCGAGGTAACATAAAGAACAGGAACAAAGAAAGTGCTTGTTTTTTTTTTTTTAATGTCTGTGTATGTTTTACAGGCTTTGTGTGATGCTTCTTAAGAGCAGGATTACACTCATGTTTCAGAAGCTGTTTCTCAGTCTGTTATCTTTATTGTAGATTTGTTTCCTTTGTAAAGTATTTTGCATTACCCTAATAAATTAAAATAAACTTACCACCTTTGACCAAGCCTTTATGCCTTTTAAGATATTCAGATCATTGTTAGAAGTACATCTAAATACTCCTCATTTATTGCAGTAATGCTTCAATAGGGCTCAATAATGGAAAGAAACACAGGAAGGCCTTGGTTTAATTTTTAAGCACAGACTATGATGGACTGGATTGGCGAATTCCCACATTCCTGGAACATCACTCTGCAGTGTGAATTGTGTAAGTCCACTGTGATAACTTGCCAGAGCTGTAAAATCCCTTCTCTTGTTAAGCTATTGTGCAGTCTCTCAACATCTGTAACCCAGCCCGGTTGATAAATGTTGCTGTTCTAGTTTCTGTCAGTATGGACTACCTACAGCTACCTGGTCATTGGTAGCTCCTCTGATTTGCTCTTAATTGTTTATCCTGGGGGCCGAAACTCATGTCAGCTCTCACAGGGTGAGAAGCAGGACACACCCTGGACAGGTCACCAATCTATTACAGCGGTAGCACAGAAGAACTCAGCAGTTCATATTTGTCTTGAAAGTGTGGGAGGAAGCTGGAGTAACTGGAGAGAACACATGAGAGCTCTCTGGGTTTGAGCAGGTTCCCTGTTGGCCTGCTGAGCACAATTGTGAGGCAACCACTGCCTCACAATTGGCAACCACAGGCAACAAAGTCTTGTTTAATTCAATATTTAAATTATTATGATGCGTTTTCAAAGGACTTTATCTGCAATCCTATCATGCAAAAACAAATGTGCGTATCATGGACTTTGATACTTAAGAAATCTCTGATGATTTTATTTGTCAGAAAATTGGTGCCTATGTTTTTTGAAAGCACATTTGCTGGTTTCCAGTTTGTCTCACTGCGCTTCAGTCCCACCTGCATGAGAGCTGAAGTTGTTTAGAACATGCCCCGAGCCCCAATATCTTATCTCTCTTGTCTAGACTTGAGTAGGTTCCCTGTTGGCCTGAGGTAGGGGAAGAAAGAGCTTCGACTTATACCTCATAAGCTCTTTTCCTCAGCTACCAACAGCTGGCATGCCATGTGTCTCACACTTTACCTGTCTATCTCTGTCTGTCCTCTGTAACCCCACCTCCACCTGCTCTCACTGGCTTAGCTAAGTGAATGTGTGTGGAAGGTTTCCGAGCTCTGACTAAAATAATTGCTAGATCAGTTTTTACCTTTTCTTTATGACCCATGTTCCCTGAAACCAGGAGAATATGTTAACAGACATACATGGGCACAGCTGCATCTGGTCATACTTTATACTGTCTTTTCTTGGTCCTGCTGGTTGGCGTCATCAGCCTGTCACTGCTGAACACAGCTGCTGTTTATCAAGACTTAACTAACAGTAACCCATTAGTTTTTGTGTGTTTGTGTGTTTGTGTGTATGTTGGACCTCAGCTCCAGTCTAGATTATCAGAAGGCCTTGG